TGAAGGAATGAAAATAGTAGAATTGCTGGATATTAAAAAATATTTAAAATCTATTACAGCTTTTAACAAAATTAGTCAAAAGGCATGGCAGTGGGCCACTCAGGTTTGTATTTAGCTTGTTTGATGTCAGGAGGGTTTTGTTTGCTGTTGGGAACTTGTTCATTAGCTGAGATCTAGTTGTTCTTCAAAGAAATGTGATCATCATTTCTTCTGTTTATTTCACTTTCTTTTTCCACTAGTTTTGAGGCACATTCAAAGGAAGATTCAAATTATATTCATGCTGAAAGAGTGGAGCTTGTTGGGATGTCTTCTCTTAAATAATTGTGCCATACTTTGGCTCACCAGTCTCTCTCTAAGAAGCAGACTTGGAAAATAGTTTGTTTTCTGTGGGATTGTGCAAGAGAGTTAATGAAAAGCAAGTCTGAGTGATGCCTTTTTATAAGAATTAAAATGGATTATAATTGCCTTGTTTTGATTCAGAAGCTTGTAGCACAAGAATCATCGTTTTCCTCTTCCTCTGTTCGCTGGGTAACTGTGGCTGTAAGATCTTGGTTGATTAGTTTTCTTAGATATATTTTGGTGCATTGCTTTGAACTGATCTGGCATGAAGTGTCTGGACTGGAACAGACCTGTAATCAAAATTTTCAGGAAATTTTCTGATTTCCAGATCTTAAATGATACCACCTGTTAAGGCATGATATCCACAATGTCTGATGGTAATTAGTGTGATTCTTACTAATTCATTCTTTTCAAGTATTGACTAGAACTTTCTGGTGGTTTTATTTTATCTTGACTTTTATATATCCCTTTCAAATCAGTTATTTAAAAATAAAATGCAGCAGTAATCGTTCTGAATTATCTATAGTTTATATAGGCAAAAAAATCCTACTTGTTTTCCTCCCATTTCACCTTGTAGTGTCCCCAACTCTTTTTCATAGTAGGCAACAAAGAATTTAAGAAAAAACCACTGAGTGCTGCATTTTGCAAAGCACTGTTTTGGTGCCATCTCTGCTTATTAATAGAAATTCATGTTTCTTATCAATTAAAAATTTATCCTCAAGTGGTTGCCAGTTCCCTTCTTCCCTGAGAAATATTCTCTGGGGAAAGTAAAACTCTTTAGTGGATTGAAGAGTACATGATATGAAGTAGTTGTGTGAGCAGTTGACTTTTAAGCGGAGCTACAAAAGTTGCTTTGGAGCCTGAATAGTTCAGCACTTTCACACAGCAAGATCATGGACTTGTCCCAGCTGTGCTGTGATGATGGTTGCAATCAACCTTAATTTCAGAAAATACCAGATAAAATGCTAGAAGACCTTAATCAAGGTCTGGCAAAAATGGGGAGGAGAATGTTATATCTATGAAGATTCTTTTAAAAAAGGAAAAAAAAAAATCAAATGTCTTATTCATATATACTTTTTTCATTCCAGCTGCATATATGTAGAAAGAGGTGAAATTTCACCGTTAGGTGACAAAAAGCATTTGCTGTCTTGGATTGCAAAGTATACTTCTAATATAACTTGAAAAGGAAATGTTTTCTCAATTTACAGTAAGCCTTGACTATGAAGAACAGGAAAGAAAAAGTTCAGGTTTTTTCAGTAAGGGATGAAAATTTTAGATTTATAACTTCATTCAAGATTGCCAGGGCCTGAGGCAAACAAAACAGAGCATGTATCTACTTTACAGCTGCAAAAATAATTACGATGACTATCTGTGGAGTAATCTCTAATGGATTATATTTTGTTAGCATTTCATTATGTGATGTTAGTGCCAAAATAATTCATAGTAAATGGGGAAAAAAATACTTGTTTTGAAGTATCTGTGGCCTGGACCTTTGATGTCCTCCTAGGCATTCTTTTAAAGACTGGTTAATTTAGGAAAGGTCTTGGTTTGCAGGCAAGGTACTATGCTTGTCAAGCTATTATAAGACTAAGGAGTGTAGAAATTACAGAAGTAATTTGGTTTTATTATGTAAGTACTGGACTTCTTTGTTGCTTCAAAGGTGCTAAAGCCATCTGAGGTGCTATCACTCAGATTTATGAGTTCTTTCAGACTTGAAAAGCACTTATGCTTTATTAAGATCACTTGATTTAATTTTTTTAAAACTTCAGGCTGCTTATTTTTATATGTCTCTTAATTTTATCCAAGTGATACGATCTTCAGAAGTAATAAGATGCTTCATACTCATGGTCAAAACACCCCTTTTTTGTGTTGCAATAGAACTGTGGCATAGCAAATAAACTCTTGTGCACTTTCATGTGTTGTTGGCACTGGGAACTGGATCTCTGGGAGGGAGGGGTTAATAACTTAGGGCGCTTTCTTCTTTAATGTTCTTTAATTTTAAGAAGTAGGAAAAAAAAGAAATAATATGATCAGTGGCTCCAAGCCAGATAAGGTCTCTAAGGTATTAAATAGAAAAAATTGTTGGACTTTCAATAGAAGCAGTGTCCAGCTATCCATTTGCAGTGCATGATTTACAGTGATCCATGTGTCTGGATGGCTTGATGGTTTCTTGGGAACACAAGAAATTGTCTTTGGCCATTAACACCAAACTCAATGTAAGCGGAACAAGGATATGTAACATTTTCAGTGTATGTGAGTAGTGTTTTAACACTTCCATAACCAAAAATGAATTTGAAGTGCAATTTTGGCGCATCAATATATAAGGGAATACAGTAAGGAAGATGTAAGAGAATGCAGGTTGAACTTAATAAAGTTTTGTTCAAGGCAGAAGGGAGTTTAAAGGATTGATCTTTTTTAAAAACATGGTATTATAACTGAAAGTATTTTCATTTTTTCTCAAGTTTGTAGAAGAAAAATATGGATGACTCTTGGCTTTTAGGAAGAGAAATAATTTGATCTTAGGTGCAGCACGTTTTTTCAGGCTTCTGTACAGTAAGAAATAGGTACATTTTATTTGTTGTGTTGGTTTTTGGCTTGGTTTTTTAAATAAACTCTGTTCACTACGTCTGTTGAAGAGACCTAATCTGTCCAAGAGAACATGGTCATACAAAAGCGTCTTATTGTTGTAGACTTGATGACTTCCAGGGGCTCCTTCCAATCTAAATTATTCTGTAATATCTTCTTTAAGTCCTATAATTCTGTTCTATTAGTTTGTATTGTTAATGTGATATAGACATTTTATCCTTGACTATACTCTTTAAGAGCATCAGTATATCTTGTTTCCAGGGCATCCAGGAATTTCAGTAATTGAACTGAAATATTAGAAATGTGAGTGCTTCAGTGTGAAAGGGGTTTAGTAAATTCAAATATTTGGTGAGATCTGTACTGTATTTAAGTACTTTTGACACGCAGATATTCTTTATTTCTGGAATTTATGTCCATTATCTAGATATTATTCTTTATTTATTGTTTCTGATTCCTGCCTACACTTTTGAATCAATGTGGAACTTTCCCAGTTGTGTATTACATTCTAATAAAAGCAGGCATGAGGAAGGTGTATATACCTCTGTCCAAAAGCAGGCGACCTATTTGCCCTCAGACCACTTTAAAAGGTCTTACCAGTGTGGAAGACCTTACAGAGAGGGATGGCTTGGTGGTAGTACTGTACCTGCCAATCTGTAAGAGCAACCACATTCCTTAACAGCTGACATAAATCTCACCTCCCCTTGAAGCAGCATGAACAAATAAACTCCTGTTTGCTAGGGAATGTCCATGTATCTGGGGTCCATGGCTTGGAGGGTATATATATATTTTTTGCTGCATCTCCTTGGCATTATTTACTGTTGACACAAGATTGTTGCAGGCAGCAAGACTGACATACAGCTGTGTAAAAATCCTGAGAGTCCTCTGGGGGTAGTGTTCTTTTCCATTACCCTATCCTTTGTTCAGTGTGGATGGAGGAACAGCAGTGGAGAGGACTAGAATGCTATGTTTGTTATCATTTCAGTTATTTATTTTTAGATTAAACCTAATGCCACTTACTTGGCAAGGCTTAGAAATGCCATTATGCTGTTAAACTGTGTCCCTGTGTAGTGGTCTGTTGAGCACAGGATGATGTCTGTACTTTCCCAGAAAGAAAAATAATCACAGAGCTATTGATAAAATCCATAGTGGATGACTGGAGGAAACTAGAGTTGGGCTTGGCCAAACGATGAGAAAGAACAAATTCTAGTAATGAAGCTGCAACAAAAATGTTTCTTTGCGTGAAAAGGCGGCAAAATTGATTTCTAAATAAAGGATGTGGGCCTGGTTTAGGCTAAGTAACAACTACCAGAGATCAGGAAAGGTTTTAAATATTTTTTTCTTTTAAAAGACACAAGCCAGGTTGCAAAGGTGAGTTTGGCTAAGGCTGGGCAAATGTTTAGTGATTTGTAATGTCATCAAAGAACTGGGAAGTTTATTTAGTTCATTGATTTTTGCCCTAAATTCAGGGATGGGTACAATTTGTATGGCTCGTGGCCAAACTTTAACCATAAACTTCTGAGTTACTGGCAGGTTGACCTTGTATCTCAGAAAAAAAGGGACTTTCAGAAAGCAACCTTGGTAGTGCTTCCCCCCAAGTCGCATTCTACCTCAGCAGAAGATACTGTGCTTGAAATCATGCTCAGGATACTGAATCATGGAATGCTTTGTGTTGGAAAGGACCTTAAAGGCCATCTCGTTCCACCTCCCCTGCCATGGGCAGGGACACCTTCCACAGACCAGGTTGCTCAGAGCACCATCCAGCCTGGCCTTGAACACTTCCAGGGATGGGACAGCCACAGCCTCTCCAGCCAGTTCATGCCAGGGCACAGTAAAGAATTTCTTCCTAATATCTAATCTAAACCTGCATTCTTTCAGTTCAAAGCCATTACCTCTAGTTCTCTCACAACATGCTCTTGTAAAAAGTCCCCTTCCAGCTCTGTTGATTAACTGATCTGTTTGTTAATGTAAAATACAGTGACAACAAGCACCATTAAAGACCAATAAAAAACACTTTGCTGCACTATTAGTATATATTATTGAGTAATTTTTTTGCTTCATTGCCTTTATTCTTTCAGTTCTACGGGATGACTTCAGACAAAATCCCTCAGATGTCATGGTAGCTGTGGGGGAACCTGCAGTGATGGAATGCCAGCCCCCGAGAGGTCACCCAGAGCCAACTATATCATGGAAGAAAGACGGGACCCCTCTAGATGACAAAGATGAGAGAATTACAGTAAGTATAAAAAGGTTTTCCAAACAACACAAGAATCAACCAATCCAAAATTTCTGGTCGCTTGAGCCTGTGGGCATCTCTGGCTGTGCTGTCCTTCCTAGGATGTGTCCTCTCCTGGCCTCCCAGGCAAGGGCTAGTTTGCATTTAGCTTGGAATGTAACCTCTTATCTCCTAGTACTTCATTGCAGGCTATGCATTTGTTTGTTAAAGAGGCCTATGCAAAACCTATGTCCTTCTCTTCCTCAAAAGAATTAGAAGCTTGTGGAAATGAAACTCGTCATCCTCATCACTGTCCTATAATTTTCATACTTTTTATCCACCTACAAATTTTTGCAACCTGTAATATGTGGCTTTAGTTGGAAAGAGAAACTACAAGTAGTCTCAGTGAGATCTTTTGTAATTCTGCTGAAAATAGCACATGCAGGAAAGTTGTGTGTTGTATTAGAAAGGATAAAAAAGGTTTGGAGATATAGACACATTTATTTACAGAGATAATGGCTTATCCCGCCATCTTAAATAAATCTGTTTTTTCATCAGAGGTGTTGTCATACTCATTTATATCTATAGCTTGCTGAATACAGTGCATGAGTATTCCAGAGTATGGATAAAGCAGCTTCTCAAATAATAAAACTATCCCTTTGAAACAGTAAGCTGGTGAGCCTAAATGTCTTGCAGAAATGGCATTGAAAAATAGGATTCAAAAATCATTTATTTGCAGCCAGTGTGGTGATAGGAGAAACATCTTTCCACATGAGAGAAACTATCATCTGAAAGCACATACTGTCCTGTTGGTACTGGAAAGATTTCTAGTGTAAAGCAGGATTAGAGGCACATACCATTTACATGCCTCAATCACATACCGAAATGAGGGAAAGTACTCCAGCAACCTAAATATAAAATTACCACTTTGGTTTGAGATTGAAATTGCCTGTTATTCCATTTATTTTTTACAAACAGGGCAAAGCCCAGGCATTCTGCAGTTGTGGCGTATGCATACATTTAAATTTTTAAGTACCCTACCCAACCTATACTGATTGCTGGCTATTAACTCCATTCCTCCAATCATACTTGCTAAGAACTTGCAATTTCCTTTTCAAATCTCCTTCCAACTGTGACAAGGCAATTGACCTGAGATAAAGAGAAGATTCCAGTGCTACCTATGTTGGGTTTTTTTTCCTCCAGGAAGCACTTTCTAAACGTGCATTTTTTATTGCTATAGTTTATTCTCTCGAAGGATTTTCAGGTGTTGCCTATTAAGTACATTTCTTTTGCTATGAAAGCAGTTCCAGCTGCCAGAACAAAGACATACCCAGAACAAAAGTAGGTATCACTGACTGGCAATGTGTCCTGGAGTTGTTAAAGCTTTTCTTAGGATGAAAGAAAGCCCTTCAGTTTGGTTTTATTTTCTGATGTTTGTATCAAATGCTCACCCACACAGTATTTTTTCACGATGTCATCTGGCAGAGTTGTTGTGTGTTATCAATGTCTCCTCCCAGTAACAAACAAATGAAAATGAGTTTTGATGTAGGTGTAGATTCACACTTGTACCCAAATGGGGTTTGTGTCCAGAGGTGTAAATTAACAGAGTTGCCAGGGCCCAGCTTAGCCATGTCATATGTGCCTGGCATTGTCCCCAGCAGCACTATTGACACCATGGGGGCTTCCTGACACAGGCAGAGAGCCTGAAGCAACATTGTCATGCGGATTTGCATCCTCTTACAGCTGTAGCAGGATCTTGCCAAGTGGATAAATATGCATTCAGATGTACCTCTTTCCAGCTTTGCAGGAACCATCTGTATGGTCTTGCTAGTGGCAGGGAGGGGAGTGGGGAGTGGGACAGAATGGACAACTTACTAAAGGGCAGATGGGAATGAAATGCTAATTGTGAAATCTGACTTAGAATAATTCCATTTCTGTTCTTTTATCTCCTTAAAGGCATTTCTATTTCAGTTTGGCAACTGGAATGAAAAAAAAACCAAAAACATAGAAGAGTACAAAAGCTGAAATAAGGATGAAATTGATGGGATTTGACAGGTTTCTCTTTTTTTTTTCTTTTTAATTGTCTATATTTAAAATGAGTATCTACCTTCATGTGGTGGCAAAATTTTGATTGACTCAGTGCCAGTAAATTTCCATAATACAAGCGTAATTTTCTTCTTTTAAAGCCATGAAATTAGCAGATCAGGAAATGTCAAACTATATGTCTTGGTGTTCAATGCACATGTAATATTCAATAATAATATATTTAATAAATGAAAAAGTTTTGGTGGCTCAATTTCTAAATAGAGAAGAATAGAATAGAATATATCATTCTTACAGGTTTGTTGATCTTTGACTCATTACAATTCAAGAGTACTCTAAGTGTCAAAGGCTTTGTGAAGCATATTGTATTAATGCTTTCCTTTCTGACAAGAGATTTAAAATAAACATTAAGAGTCTACTTTTTTCTGAGTAAGGTATGATGCTTGACATCTTTTTTGATTCATATTTATACTTTCTTCAAGAAGATTGTATCTTCGTGAAGCAACTTTATTTTTAATATATGGAAGCATTTTTTTCTCCTCTGCAATGACAGTGTCATTTATGAGTCAGAAAAACTGGACTTTTCAGAATGAGTACTAAGAGTGCCAGAAAAACAGAGCTGGAAGCTTTGTTCCTGGCTGAGAATTTGAAGCAAAAGATGTAGGTAAATAGCAAATAAATAAGATCCAAGCTAAGGCATGACTTCCTCAGGAATGCAATAAACAGAATATATTATTTTGTCCTGGGTAGAGTTAAGGGAATCAATGTGTTTATGTAGGTAGGATAATAAAAATCAGTCTTTTCATATTTTTGGTCAATTTGTAGGGCAAATAAATGCGCTATGAAGTGAAAAAACTGTATATGTCTTTTAGGTTATAAACTAGGGAATGGAATGAATAGGAAATGAAAGTTAAGGGTGAGGGCAGAGTTATCTGTGAAGAAGTTTATAGAAGCAGGGATTTTATTTGAGCACAGCTCTCCTAGTAGTGCCCAGTTTTAGAGACTTTGTGTAGGCTTTTCAGTGCACAAATGCCTGCTGGGTGCACCTGATGAAGAATTGTCACCAAAATATCTTTTCTCTCTGCTCTTGAGAGAAGAGTTTATAGACTGTTGTCTATAAACAGTTTTCTCAGTGCATTGGGCTCAACATGATTTTCCTCATAGGAGTTCTGTACACCATGGTACGAAAGCAAATGCTTGATGTGACTATTCCCTCTCCAAATATATTACAAATAAAGCTGGAACAGTCTTGCCTGAGAAGCAGACACTTACCTTTAGTTTAATTTATTGATTTGGAAAACGGTTATCATGAGGACTGAGTAGAACTAGTATGATTCCACGCTCATCTAGTTAATTTTTCTCCTGGGATTACTGTGGAATCAAAAATCTCTCCTGTAATATATATATATATGTGTGTGTGTGTGTGTGTGTGTGTGTGTGTGTGTCTGTGTATAGTTGAAAAGTGGTGCCTTAGCTCAGTCCAGTGAATAGCTCTAATTTCTCACTGCAAACAGTGCAAAGCTCAAATGTATTTTTCCAGTGTTTTACATGATCCATCTGCACTAGGAGAGGCTGTGGGACACTCCTCTTGGAGCTGAGGCTTGGTGGAGAAAGAAGGTACAAGGTGTTGTCCATGAGAGAGAGAGGAGGGAGCGCAGCAGGGTGGGGAAGTTCCTGGTTCTGTTTCCAGCCGTTCTTGGTGTTTACACATTTGGCACTGGTGAAGTTCATAGACCTGCCCATTGCTTGGAGCAAATCCCTAGGCCAGAGCTCCAGGCTTCCAGGCATCCTCCCAAGGAACAGCCCTGCTCCCAGCCCCATCAGTCTAGCCATCTTTTTTGCATGGCAGCACAGCGTCATTAGGACATAGCCACGTGTGTCACCTTGGTGCCAAAAGCTGTGAGTTTGCATTCCCTGGGGCTGAGGAGGAAGTGCAATCAGTGGAGTTTCTGCTGACTGCTGTAATCACTGGGTTTGGTCTTTCCAAATGTATTTTGTCTGGGTGCAGTTGGCAGAGTGTCAGTGGCTGCGAGTGCCATTAGCAATGACTTGCTCAGGCACTCACAGTCAGTGTTGGTTGCTTGTAAGCCTGTGAATTCAGTGTGCCTCCATTCTCTCACTTCTCACCCATCTTCTTGCTGTACCCCAGAAATGTCCCACTACATTTCAAATGGTGTTCCCACTGCCTTCCTAGCACACACCTCACCAAATTTTCACCTCATTCCCCAGCCATTTCCTCCATCTCACAGGTTGTGCTCCCATCCACCCAGCCTGTCTGGCTCTGTCACCTGATTAGTGATATCTGCTTGTGTGGAGGTAACAATTTGGAAGCTCAGATAAGCAAACCCTCCTGCAGCATGCTGTGAAGTCAAGGCATTCTTCCCTGGGCCTTGCTGTTGCTGGAAATGGCTGGTGAGCTGTGATTTGTGATGGCTGCGGCAGTGTCTGCCTGTGTCAGGTTTGCTCAGAGCCTCCCTCGAGGAGCTGCATTGCTGCTCTGCCTTCTTTGTGAATCCCAAATGCAGCTGTCTCTCTATAAGATACTGACATCAGTAATCTAACCAAGATGGTGGGGCCTTTGAGCATATCTTTAGGCAAAAAACTGGCAATAATTACAAACTCTCAGGAGCCTAGAGCGTTCAGAGAGGATTTTGTGGCTCTTCCATCTAGACAGGGCAACCTCCATGTGCTTTTGGATCTATCAATTTGTCTTATGTTTTAGCAGCAATGCCTGCATAATTGACTAAGCCTCAGTGAAATCAGGATGCAGTTAGAGTGCCTTAATTATCAGTGCTTTCCCAGTGGGAGAATGTGTACATAACTTGCATAAGCTCCAGACCGAGCTGATGTTTGAGCCAGGTTTGGAGGTCAGGATTTCACAGCTGGGTCTGTTTCGTCCCCATGGCCACTAGTAGCCTCTGCTTCAGAAAGCTTCCTAATTGTTCACATCAAGTCATGGTATAGGTGGTAGAAGAAAA